ATCTTCTTGATTCAGCTTTGGTAATTCATATGTATCTAGGAATCTGTCCATTTCCTCTGTGTTTTTCATCCTATGAGAGTAAAGATTTTCAAAGTAGGTATTGATATCTTTTGAGTTTCTATGGGATGTATAGTGAATTCATCCTTTTCATTCCTTATTGCATGAATTTGAGTTTTTTTTTCTTTCCCTTTTTTTTGATAAGGTTGGCTAGGGTTTTATCAATTTTATTTATTCTTTCAAAGAACCAAGTCTTCATTAATTCTTTGTATTGTTTTTTTAGTCTCCATTGCATTAATTTCTGCTCTGATCTTTATAATTTCCTGCCTTGTTTGGGCTTTGGACTTGACTTGCTCTTTTTTTTTCTAGAAGATTGAGGTGCAGTATAAAATTGTTTATTTGTGCTCATTCTGCTTTCCTGATGTGGGAATCCAATGTTATAAATTTCCCTCTGAGGACTGCTTTCATTGCATCCCAGAGATTCCTGTAAGTTGTATCTGCATTTTCATTTGATTGTAAATCTTGTTTAATTTCATCTGTGACCCAATGGTTGTTCAAGGGGGTGTTATTTGATTTCCATATGTTTATGAAGTTTTAAAAAAAAATTTGTCATTAGTTTCCAATTTCGTTGCACTGTGACCTGATAGTATGCATGGTATATTTGCAATTTCTTTGCAGTTACTTAAGCATGTTCTGTATGCTAGTATATGATCTATTTTAGAGAACAAGTGCAGCTGAGAATGTGTATTCTGATGTTACACTCTGGAAAGATCTACTAAGTCTATTTGTTCACAAGTTTAGTTTAGTTCTGTTATTTCTTTGCTGATTTTTTGTCTAGTTGATCTATCTCTTTGTGACAGTGGGGTGTTAAAGTCCCCTCTTATGATTGTTATGATTGTGTTACTGTTTATTTGATTTTTCACATCTGTTAAACTTTGTCTTATATAGTTGTGTGCTCCTGTATTTAGTGCACAGATATTTATGATTGTTATCTCTTCCTCTTGCAGTTATCCCCTAACAGGTATGTAGTGATATTCTTTATCTTTTTCAATCGCTGTTGGTTTGAAGTTCACTTTGCAAACAGAATAGTACCCCTGCTTTTTTCTGGGTTCCTGTCACATGGAGTATTGTTTTCCATCCTTTGACTTTCAGTCTATGAATTTCCTGTTGAGTTAAATGTGTTTCTTGTATACAGCATATTGTTTGATTTTGTTTCTTGATCCAATCTGCCAGTCTGTTTCTTTTGATTGGTGTATTGAGACCATTTACATTAATGGTTATAACTGATATGTATTGGCTTGTCTTTGTTATGTTATTTTACTGCTAGTGGTTCCCTACCTTTTCCCTGTTTAATTGCTTGCTCTGCTTGGTGATTCCTTTCTATTGTTTTTCTTGAAATTGTGATCATTTTATCTCTTTCTAGACTATCTTTTAGTGCTCTTTGTAGGGTTGGTTTGGCACTCATGAGGTTCTTCATTTGTTCTTTGTCATGGAAATATTTTATTTCTCCAGTAATTTTGAAGGATAGGTTTGCAGGTACATTAATCTGTATTGAAAATTGTTTTCTTTTAGGACCTAAAATACTTCACTCCAAGCTCTTCTTGACTTGATAGTCTGTGTTGAGAAGTCTGCCATGATTCTGATGGGCTTTCCTTCATATGTGATCTGTTTCTTTTCTCTAACAGCTTTTATTTTTATTTATTTATTTTTTTTTTTTGGTACTGGGAATCAAACTCATGATGTCACACTTGCCAGGCAGGCGCTGTGCCACTGAGCTAAATCCCCAGCCCATCTAACAGCTTTCAATATTCTGTTCTTTTGCTGAATTTCTGGGATCTTGATTATTATAAGACTGGCTATAGATTTATTTTGGTTATGGCTTATTAGGGTTCTGTATGCCTCATTTTTCTGTACATCAGTTTATTTTTCCATGCTTGGGAAATTTTCTATTACTTCTGCAAATAGTCTTTTTATGTCATTTCTGTTGATTCCTGGTGTTTCCTTGACACCTATTAATCTTACATTGTTTTTCTTTGCATCATCGTGCAGCTCTTGAATTGTTATTTCCTGGTTCCTTGTTATTTTTAAGAGATCTTTCCTTTCACAATCATTAGCTGCAATGCTGTATTTAAGGTCTGAAAGTCTGTCTTCAGCTTCATTCAAATGGTTTTGCCAGCATTCGATGAAATTTTTAATTTCTTAGATATCTGTGTGAATCTGTTTCGTACATTCTAATTCTTCCCTATCTGTTCACTCAAAGTTTCCATCATTTTTCTATGCTCCTCTATTTTTTTAATCTATGTTTTCTTTAGATGTGCTGAACAGTTCTTTCATTATTGTTGTCATTTCTATTTTTCACCTGAGTGATTATTTCTGATCTGATGTCTTCTATTGCCAGAGGGAGTTGTTTCCTGACGTCAGCTGCTATCATTTCAGAAATTTCAGGTGTGTGACTTCCAAGCTCTTCTGTGTTGATGTCTCTTGGACTTGGTCTGGATGGGGTAGAGGCTTGAGATTGTATTTTACTCCTTTGTTTTTTCTTTCTTTCTTTTTTTTTTTTTTCATTTTTTTCTTTCGAAGATCTGGAGATTTCTCAGGGCTCAGCCTCACTCCTGCGATGGTGTAGAAGTGGCAGGGCAAGGTTCCCAAAGATCCCCGGTGCTCAGTGTGGCTCCTATGGTGGTGTGTGGAGCTGAGGCATGGTCACCCAGGTTCCTGAAGCTGTCTGGGTCTCAGTATGGCTCCCACACTGGTTGGGGAGGGGTGGGGTCACTGTCACTGAGGGTGCTGAGATGGCTGGGGCTTACCTTGGCTCTCACGACGGTCCTATCCTTCATTTGTGTAAGTCCAGTTTAACTCTTCCCTCTGACTTTTCCAAATTTCTCCATTTGTTTTGAATTCATCCATGACATTTTTTTCTGGTACTTGGAATCGAACCAGTGGCATTCTACCAGAGTGCTACATACCCAGCCCTTTTATTTAATTTTTTAAAAATATCAAGACAGGATTTTACTAAATTGCCCATATGGGACTGGGACTTGCAATCCTCCCACCTCAGTTTTCCTCATCTCTGGGATTAAAGTTTGTGCCACTATTCTAGACTCATAGCTTCCTAGGTTCATCAGTGTGAATGAGAGGCAGTACAGGAAATGGTTAGGGGATTTGTGCCTGGAGCTGGCCTTCCCAGGTTAAAATTGTGATTACGTCACACATACACTTTGTGACCTTGAAGTTATTTAACTTTCATGAGCCTCAATTTTCACTACCTATAAAATGGGTATGGTAACATTATCTATCTGTTGGATTATTATTCAGAAGAAAGGAGTTAATATATGTAAATTACTTCAAGTAGTGCCTGGATGCACTAGGTATGTGGCACACACCTGTAATCCCAGCACTCAGGCAGATGAGGCAGGGGGATCATTGTGAGTTTGAAGCTAGCCTGGGCTATACAGTGAGTTCAAGGCCAGACTGAACTGAATAGTGAAACCCTGTCTCAGAAAGACAAAAAAAAAAGGGCCTACACATGTTAAGTACTGGCTGTTATTATTTACACATACCCATGGGAAAAGTGAAGCATTATTTTGCATATGGACAAAATAATGGTGTCATAATGAATCTACATTAATTCATTTTGTTCACTCAAAAATGTAGGTCAAAGGTTGGGGATGTAGGCCAGTAGAGCACTTATTTAGCACGCACAGAGGTGACGGCTTTGATCCATAGCACTGAAAAAGTGTCATAAAGTTACCTGTCTCTCAGCCTAGGTCCACAGAAGTCTTTTTTTTTTTTTTTTTTAAGAAATCTTTAAGTACTGTTTAGTATTCCTTTTTATTCAATTTTTATTGATATATGTGTGTGATACATAATAATTAGATTCATTTTGGGGAATTGGTATTATATATATTGTATCTTGATCATTTTCAATCCCCTCCATGTTATCCAATTTTATAAAATATTTCCCTACTTATAAAAATGCAGGTGGTTTCCAGTTTTCACAACTACTGTACATGCAATGGGTTACTAATTGATTTTCCTGTTTCCATTCTTGTCCTCCTCCCTCAGTAGTGGTGGAGTCGTGGATGAGGCAGCAGATGGGTCTGGCTTCCTCCTGGCACTCACATTCTGCTGTAGCATTGCAGGCCTCCTAGTCCTGCTCACGCAGAGTGGGAACTTGAGGCTCCACCCGGAATGTGGGGATGTAGAGGAAGGGCGGGGAGGACTCTTGTGCCAGCCTCACCTGTTATGTGGAAGAACCTGGGAAGTTCTGCACATGTCCTCGCCTCCTGGCATTGCATATTCATTCATTCATTCATTCCCAGACAGCTTCACAGGCCTGGATACACAGCTTGGGCCCTTCCTCCTAACACAAAGCTAGGCACCCAGGCCCACTGAACTACCCACTCTGGGGCCTTGCTTGTGCCTGCTAGGTGGGGGAAGTGGGTGCTGAAAGTGAGTCTGCTATAGCCTAGCCAGGATGGCAAAACTTTCAGAGCTTTTCAGTTTGATATGTTACCTCTACAACACAAAGTTACTTAAAAAACAAAACCTTAGCATTTTTTAAAAAAAGAAATCTAGATCTTTCATCCCATAGTGTTTTCTCATCGGGATTTTGTTGATTATACCATCATAGTGTGAGTGACCCAAACTATACTTTTAAAAAGTTCTATAATTTCTCATGTTAATATGCATAAAACATAACATGTAAGTCTCTCAATTAAAAGGAATGTCCATAGCTGGGTGTGGTTGCACCTGTAACCCCAGAACTCTGGGAAGCTGAGGCAGGAAGTTTGCAAGTTGGAGCTCAGCTTGGGCAATTTAGCAATTTAGTGAGACCCTATCTCAAAATAAAACTTTTTTAATGGTGGAAGTTTCACATTTATTAAAGGTAGGAGCTGGGCATGGTGGCACCCCCCTGTAATCCCAGTAACATAGATAGCTAAATCAGTTAGAAATATTATAGGCAGTCAGACAGGGAGACAGTGCAGAGGATGAGAGAACGTCTCAAAACTCTGACTGGAGATACATCTGAAGAAGATTAAATCACAATGGCCAGATTTACATACTTCCCTAAGGGATAAATGGACGTTTGAGTTTATTGGTATCATCCATTTGAGATTTTCCCCGTATAAATAAACCATGATCTCATTAGGGATGGGCCATCTTCTCCCACACACTAATACTAAGACTAAAGACAAGACTAAGATTACAGATTATGGACCAAGGTTAATGATGTCATCTATGTACACTTGCTAAGTGACCTGCTTCCTCATTAGATCAATATTACCTAAGCGACTATATTTGCAATCTTATTGGTTGATCATAGTTTTGACCCATGATGTATCCACCTCGTGATTTTGCTCTACAAAACTTCCGTTGAGAAGTAGGCTTGTTGGCAACCCATTTGGGACCCCTCCTGTTTCCGTGGAGCTATTCCTAGTCCCCATTCCTATTCCCCATGGCCTCGAACTCACAAAGATTCTCCTGCCTCAGCCTCCAGAGTGCTAGAATTACAGGCACGCGCCACACCCGCCCGTTTTCTTTTTTACAACACGGGAATAATAAAGCGAGGGATGCAGTCGGAGGCGACAACCAGTAAAACCTGTCCCTTAACCAATGCGGACCAAAGCAAAGACTGAAATGTGTGTCAGAGCCTACAACAGGGGCGAGAAGCTGGGGCCGAGTCTACGTTGCAGGTAGGAGGCTCCCTGATAAAATGAAGTGACTTCCTACAAACATTCAAGACACACATACAAACACAGCAAAGGTAATTTAAAAAATCATAATAAAAAAAGTTATTTCTCTGAATGCCATAAGGGAGGTCCAGAATGCTAAATGGACTCTCCACTTCGGGTGGTATCGCCTTTACTCAGTAGGAGAAGTGCACTCTGGGTTTTGTAGTAAAGTCCACCCAAGAGTTGTTTCAAGGGGTTCATCAGGAGACTATATTTCCCAGAAGTCCCTGGGCCATTTGTTTGCTGACCCGCCCCCTAACTTCCGGCGTCGCTGTGTTGTCTAGACCCAATCGAGAGGCCGAAATTGTTCATTCTTGACGTTCTGATTGGTGCATTCAACTAGACTGCCTGGGTTCAAATTTTCAACGGTACTGAGTGAGTTCTGTGGCGGGCTTGAGGCATTTCGTCGTCAGAGCTGAGCTGAGGCGAGGTAAGGTGAGCTGCGGGGAGAAAAGAAGGAGCAGTTGGGGCTCGGGGCTTCCCTCTCGCTGATTTTCAGACGTGTGTTGGCAGGCTTTCAACCCCCGGCGCCGCCGCGACCCTAGACCCGGCCTCTAGGCGTTGTTGGACTGGGGTGCCGCCTAGGCGGGGCAGGGTTGGCCCAGGGTTTCGGGTCTCCCTTGTCGTCACGACAGGGCTTTGCCTTGAAGCCTGTCCGAAAAATGGGGGGAAAGAAGGATTTGTCAGGGGCCGTTGGCCGAAAATAACAGTAACGGCAATTGTTGCGCCATGCTAACAGGTAATAAGTATTTAGTGGACGAAGCAATCTGCGTATACGTTCCCACTGAATGTTCGTATCAAACCATTGAATTAAGTGTTACTCTTAACCCCACTTTACAAAGAAGGGAACCGAGGCCCACACAAGGTAAGTTTCTAGCAATGAGTGAAATAGTAGCCCTGCCCACAAGTGTGGCGTTTAGTAGCACAAAGCGGATGTGGTCACAGAAAACTGCATTTTAAAACTACTGTGTAAGATAGAAAGGCAAATTAGTGCGAGAATATAATTGAGAGAGACTTTAATTCTACTTGGAATTGTCTTCTGTTTGGAATTAAAAGTAATTTTATGTTATCCATGTTTGCCTGTCCTTCTCCCTTTGTATCCACTAGCTATTATTGCCTTTTAAAATTACTTAGAACGTTTATGGGATTGGAGGAAGAAGGAAAACCGGTTCATATAATATTGCATGGCTGGTTTGCCCCCCACTTTTTGTGTTTTTGAGACAGGGTCTCAAAATGTAGCTCAGGCTACCCTCGAACTCATCATGGTGATCCTCCTGCCTCGGACTCCCTAGTGCTGGGATTACAAGCCTTCGCTACCAAGCCCGGCTTTTCTCTTACTTTTCTTTTCCTTTTTTTTTTTTTTTTTTTTTTGTACTGGGGTTTGAACCCAAAGCCTTTGAACTGAGCCCCCCTCCTTTAATTTTATTTCTCACTGAATCACTTGAGTTACCCAGGCTTGCCTCCAACTTGTGATCTTGCTTCATCCTCCCACTGTTTTGTTGATTTTTTTTTCTTTTCCACATAAAATTTTCTGGTAGTTAGTAGCCAAGGCTCCTCCAAGCTATTTCTGCTTAGCATAGAGGAGGAATTTTGACTCCTTGATTTTGCTTGAAATCAAGTTCACCTGTTGAGCTTATGGCCTTGAGTCTTACTTTGTCTTGACTTCCCATAGGCTTTCTTTGAATTTCTCTCACTCTTCAGATATCAAAAATAGAACTATTAAAGAAAAAGAGGGCCGGGGATATAGCTCAGCGGCAAAAGCGCCTGCCTGGCAAGCGCAAGGTCCTGAGTTCGATTCCTGATACCACACACACAAAAAAAGAACATCAGTATATTATACCACCTGTCAACATCCCCCCAAATCACATTTGAGTACACTTGGCTGGTTTGGGTGTGTCTGTTTAGTATTTTTTTTTTTTTTTTGGTTTTTTTCCGGTACCAGGAACCGAACTCACGACCTTGCGCTTGCCAGGCAGGCGCTTTGCCGCTGAGCTAAATCCCCAGCCCCCTATCTGTTTAGTATTAAGTTGTCATTCTTGTCAACTCAGCTCCCAGATACCTTGTTCAATTAATTGAGCTTTTAGTGTGTTCAGGTTGGTGTTAGATACTGTGGGGATACAGTCAAATGTGTGGTGTATTCAAAGGCTTTCTGTTATGCTTGGGGACAAAAGATGGATGCAAATGACAGTCAAACCAAGACAAAACAGGATTGAGTGCTCCACACAGTTTTATAAGTGTTCTGGCAATTTAGAGGTGAGGGAGATCAGTGAGGCCTAAAGTAGGCAAGGGTGGCTTGGGAAGTAGGTGGTGTACAAAGTGGATCTTGAGAAGCAGTTTGGTTAGACTGGAGCAGTCTTTGGGTATGGGAATCACCCGCTAAATGTCAGTTGATTGGATAGAGAAAAGACACTACAAAATTGTAGGTATGAAAACTTGGCTTGTCTTCAAGTAGATTGGTATATTTGTTTAAACTTTTTTTTTTTTTTTTTTGAGATAGGGTCTTGCTATGTAGCCCAAGCTGACCTTGAACTCAGTGATCCTCCTGCCTCAGCTTCCCAAATGCTGGGATTACATGCATGTGCCACCATGCTAGCTAAATTTTCAAACTATTTACATAAAGTTTTATTTACATAAAATTTGGTAGTGATTATGCTTAACTATGTGTATTCTAGACTTTATAAAATTAATTTTTCCTACATTTGCCATGATGCTTGTCCAGGAGAAAGAATTATGTGAGAAGGTTCTTTATTTCTTATTTAGGTTCCAGGAAAGATTCAGAATTGTATATTCCCTACGTATTTTTTCTGTCAGCCTTTCCAGGGTCTCTCCTCTTTCTGTCTCTGTCTCTGTCTCTGTCTCTGTCTCTGTCTCTGTCTCTTCTCTGTCTTGATGGAGAAGAAAGGCGGGATTTGAATGTCCTTTGACAAAATTTTCTTTGTCATGATTAAAGTTGATTAAAGAATTGACTTTAGCGCAATTGTATAGCCCAAAGATTCTGTGACTAGAACTGTATATTTGAGACACAGATCAGCAGCCCAAGGTACTCTGTGAGAAAAGTCTAGATAACTAGAAGGGGTTCTGTGTTTATTTGTTTGGATAGGGGAATTTGGTAAAAGGGAAAGAAATGAAAAATTAATGAGAGTTATAAAATTATATCTAGGAAGTAGAAATTGGAAAGATTTCGTAAATGAAAGTAGTAGTAAAAGTTCGTTCACATTTTAAGTGAGCCAGCCTGCTATTTATAGGCTTCTATGTTTGAATAAAGTATACACTACTATTCAGTGTTCCTAAATTGCAGGCATTGTAAAGATTGAAGTGAGAGTATGTAACATAAAGACAGCATAAGACATAAATTTACACTAAAAAGTCTAAGAACACTTACACTGGTGCAATAATAATTGTTAAGTTTGTCATGTTGGGAAGACTCTGCTGTTTGTCCCTCAGAAGCTTCCTCTGGTCTTTTATTTATGACCCCTTCCTACTTCTGTATATTATTTTTTTACTACAAAGAACTTAAACTTTATTCATCTTTCTGCTATTTCCAGGTTCTTAATAAGAGGAATCTACTAGACTTCAGGATTTCAGAAGAGGTGAGAGTATATTGCAGTTTTCAGTCAAGCCTATAGGCAAGCAGACTGACCTGTTAAACTATAGGTAAAGCTGTGAATTCCACAGTGAATTATATTAAGAAATAAGGGAGTTGAATGTGGTGGCCCATGCTTGTAATACCACCACTCTAGGTGACTGAGGCAAAGGGATCATAAGTTTTGAGCTGAGCCTGCATTTTAGACCCTATCTGGGAAAAAAAACAAAACAAAACTGAGAGGGGTGGGGATGTAGCCCAGTGCAAAGGGTCCTGGATTCAATCCCCAGTACAGTACTGGGGGTGGTGGAGAAGAAAAAAGGACTAAAGGAAACATTAATATGTCAGTCTCGTAAATATTTAAATAATTTTGGGACCAAGAGATGGAGGGGAAGGAGATGTAAAGTGAATTAAGGTGTATTATGTATATGTATCAATTGCCTGTGGTAATCATTGTGTACCACATGTACTAATAAAAATTTTAAGCTGTCTTTATAAGGTAGCACATATTTTGGGAGGAAATTTATATAATGTGGAAAACAAAAAGAAAATAAAACTACCAACTATCCTACTTCTTAGGTAAACTATTGCTAATATTTTGCTAGATTTCTTTACCTTTTTTCTGTGCCTTTGTTTTAAAACTGTACACTGCCTGGGTGTTGTGGTGCATGCCTGTAATCCCGAGCACTTGGGAAGCTGAGGCAGGAGGATCACCCTGAGTTCAAGGCCAGCCTGAACTACATAATGAGACCGTGTCTGGAAAAAAAAAAAAATCATACATTGAAAGCCTTTATTGCTTTTTTATTCACTTAATAATATCTATACATATTAATTTTTTCTGTAACATAATTTTAAAGCCTATATGATATTCCATATACTAAAATATATGGTTTATCTATAGTACTTTGTGAAATTGCTAATCAAAAAAAAATTTTTTTTTTTTGTAACTGGGGATTGAACACAGGGCCTTTTCACTGAGCTACACTCCTACCTCTATTTTTTATTTTCAGACAGTCTCCCTAAGGCACTAAGTAGTCTCCAGGCTGGGCTAGAACTTGCAGTCCTCCTACCTCAGCCTTCCACAGTTTGGGGATTATAGGCAGGTGCCCCCATGCTTGGCTAAGAGTGCTGTTTTTAAGATAACACCAAAATTGCTTTATGGGAAGATCATGCTGATTTACATACTCACTAAAGCAGTATGTATTCAAATAGGCACAAATATGTATTCTTAACATAGGTAATATATTTGCATGATGCAAAAAGCAAAATAAGCTGAGCGTGGTGGCACACACTTGTAATCCCACTTGTAATCAGAAGACTGAGGGAGAACACTGTGAGTTCGATGCTACCCTGGGCTACATAGTGAGTTCAAGTCCAGCTTGAACTAGACAGTGAGATAGCAAAAATAATTGGGGTTGGAGATACAGCTCAGCAGCACAGCACCTGTCTGATGAGTGTGAGGTCCTGAATTCAATTCCCAGTACCTACCCCACCCCTCAAAAAATTTATGGTTAAAAATCTTCCTCCAGGGCCAGGGATATAGCTCAGCAGCGCAGTGCCTGCCTGGCAAGCACGAGGCCCTGAGTTTGGTGTCCGGTACTAAAAAAAAAAAAAAAAAAAATCTTCCTCCAGCTTTTTTTTTTTAATTTATTTTTTGGTCTTTTTGAGACAGGATCTCGCTATGCAGTTCAGGCTGGCCTTGAACTCACTTCGTAGCCCAGGCTGGTCTCGAACTCGCAATGATCCTCCTGCCTCAGTCTCCCGAGTGCTGGGATTACAGGTGTGCGCCACCATGTCCAGCGTTTCCTCCAATTTTATAACTCTTTACTTCTCTCTGTAGTACACATATGGTAAAAGTTTTATTAGGTCCTTGGTTCTGTGTATGTTGTATATGTGCATATTTCCCAAACCAGATACTTTTTGAAGAGTATAAATCTTTACAAGACTAAGGGATTGCCATTTGACTAAGTTGGTAGTCTCCTAAAGCCCCACTGTCAGTCTTACAAACACCTTCGGCTTCATATTATTGGAATACTTTGGGATACTGCAGAGATTTCCTTTTGGTGGTCTACAAAGATCTGGGTCATTATTTGGCTAAATGTAAACAGCATCATTGATTTCCATATGGGTCCTGTTGGGTGTTTAGAGGGGTGGTTTTAAAGTTTTTTTTGAATTTTTATGCATAAATTAATGCAGTACTATATTTGATTTTTTTTTTTTTTTTTTTTTTTTTTTTTTTTTTTCAGGGTCTTGCTGTGCAGTTCAGGTTGGCCTTGAGCTCACTTTTTAGCCCAGGCTGGTCTCAAACTCAGATCCTCTTGCCTCTGCCTCCTGAGTGCTGGGATTATAGGCGTGTGCCACCACGCCCGGCTTGTGAGTCTTAAAAAAGGTGATGTTATGCTCACAAGTCTGAAAGAGAAATGATAGAAAAATATATTTGCTTGAGGTTCTGGACAGTGATGAATTAGAACAAGTGTCTGTGTGTCCTGTGCTGACTTCTGAGTGCTTGGACAGTGAGGGATTGTCATTGGATTTTAAATTGACCCAATTTTGGAAGCTTCATAGATCTGTTTCTGTAAACAGATCTAGTTTCAACATAGAAGTTAACAAACATAAATGTGGAAACAAAGTCCATTAAACTTCCTTCAGACTTAGTTTGTGACTTTGATTAACAGTTAAAGTTGCATGCTGGATTATGTTGCCATTTACTAACTCTTGCTAATCCCTTATGTACAAGGGAAAAAATGTAGGTGTTTTTTCCTTGGGTAAAATGAAAATAACTCTTATTTTACTTGTAATGTAATAGGATCTCTTATCCCTTGTGAAAGGAGAGGGTGTTCTTGGGGAAATGGAACTGCCTGGATGGGACTATACTTCTAATGAAATCTTAACTTAATCTATTTATTCTGTTGCATTACCAGTTGCTTAACTGCTGCTTTTCTCTCCCCTAGAAATAGGGAAGGCGCTTAGCACTAGCTGGATACTGAGGTGCTTGAGAGCATCTATCATGCCAGTCTTTTTTTTTTTTTTTTTGTACTGGGAATCGAACTCAGGGCCTCATACTTGCCAGGCAGGCACTGTGCTGCTGAGCTACGTTCCTGGCCCCAGTCTTTGTTTTGCTAGGAGCTGCTAGTTTGCTATTTCAGCCCTGCTTAGAATGCACCTTCTTGTAGCTTTCCCCCACACTCTGAACCTGCACCTTTTGATTTATAGAGCTTGTCAAAGCTAGTTTATTTTTGGTTTGAGAGTGAAGAGAGACAGGAGGCAATGGGAGGTTAATTTCAGATGAAAGTGGAAACATGTTACATCGCTTCTTCTGCATTGATCCCCATTCATTTCCCTTTCCTATTTATTTCTTCTGTCGGAAAATGTCAACATTCATTTTTATTCTTTTTTTTGGTACTGGGACCTTGTGCTTGCCAGGCAGGTGCTGTGCTGCTGAGTTATACCCTGAGCCCTAACATTTTTTTTGTTGTTTGTTGTTTTTTTTTTCCGGTACTGGGAATCGAACTCACAACCTTGCGCTCGCCAGGCAGGCGCTGTGCCGCTGAGCTAAATCCCCAGCCCCGCTAACATTCATTTTTAATCTATAGAACTTTATGGGCCTGTCTCTGTGCTTTAGGTATGTCCAGCACCAGGAAGCCCTCACTGACTGTCCTTCACCTGGTTCTCCTTTGCACTTCCTGATTGCCCTCTGTTCATGCCCTATTACAGCAAGGATCATCCCATACTTTGTTTCTGTATTCCCCATTCAACTGTTAGTTTCTTAAGGGAGGGGATTTTATATATTTATGTAAAGGCTATGTCTGTATACTTTCAGTCTTTGTTTTTGGAAGCGAGAAATGGGTTATATTGCATGATGGATGACGTTTGATAAGCAGTTTTAAAAAGAACTTCCCTAATTCATGGCATATGGGATAGGTCTGTTGTAGAATTATTGTTCATTAATATCTAGTTCTTCACTCAGAATATTTCTCGTTTTATAAGCGTCACAGCTGTGGGAGATTCAGATAATTTTGAAATGTGAAGCTGATTCTCTTGCTTGGCAACTTGATTTGTTTGGGGGAATGTGGTTGACGCATGTGCCTTTTTTTTTTTCCAGTGAGACCTGTTGACAGAAATTCAATCTTGATTAAGGGGTGCAGGAAAGCATCCAGTTTTCCCATGCCTGGGGCCCTCTCATTTAAACAGTTACCTTTAGTTCTAGTCTATTTCATTTCCCACGAGACCCTATGGACTTTGAATTTTGAAGCTTTCCCCAGACCCCCCGTTTTTCAGGGAGGCTGGATGGTGCCCTGAGTTGGTCATATTAGACTCAAAGATAGCTCAAAAGAAACTTTTAATTTTATTTATTTTGTTTTTTGAGGCAGGGTCTCCCTATGTAGTTCAGGCTGGCCTCCAACTTATGGCAATCTTCCTACCTCAGCCTTCCAAGTGCTGGGATTACAGGTGTGTGTCACACACCTGGTTTACGTATTTCCTTTTTTTTTTTTTTTGTTTGGTACCTGGAATAAAACTCAGGACCTTGCACTTGCCAGGCAGGTGCTTGTGGTGCTGACTACATCCCCGGCCCTACCTATTTTTTTTTTTTTTGTAGGAATGTTTATAGAAAAACTTTATACATCAGATACTTCTTCCACCTACTAGCTGGTGATCTTGGAGTAGCTTAATTTCTCTGCGCCTGAGCCTTTATTTGTAACATAGTTATGATGGTATCTATCTTCTATATTGTAATTAAATGAGGTGATTTATGTGAAGTGCCTCGTAAGGTGCTTGGCCTGCTTGCAGTAGACAGTATTTGTAAGCTGTTATCTCTAAGTGGTTTTGTCTCTTGTACCATGACATTTGTTACTTATCTATTTACTTTTTTTGTGTAGTACTATGGCTTAAACTCATACTTTGTGCATGTACTATATTATTGAGCTACACCTCTAACTTTAAAAAAAGTTTTTTATTTGGAGACAAGGTCTCGCTAAGTTGCCTAGGCTGGGCTTGAATGTGCAACCTTTCTGCCTCAGCCTCCCATAGTGCTGGGATTGTAGGCGTTCACTACCATAGTTGGTAAAATTGTAAATACAACAGGTAGTGGATAAGAACAGAGCCTTTAGTGCCCATGTAGGCTCAAACCCTGACTGTGCAACTTCTTAGCTGTGTGACCATAAACAAGTGAATAATCTCTAGATCTTAGTTTTCTCATCTGTAAAATGAAGATAATAATGGTACCTACTTTATAGTAATGTTTGAGGACTTATGAGTTAGTACATGTAAAACACTGCCAGTAGTGCCTGGCATTAGCACTTAGTAATTAGTAGCTATTATTATTTTTAACCTTTTTCAATTTTATATAACCTTTTATTAAGTTAGTACTTAGTAATCATTTTTATTTTGAAATATTAGAATACATAAATTTATTAGCCAATATACAGACTGTGTAAATGGGAAGCATTATTTCCCAAAAACAAGAGATTTGACAATGTTGGGTATGCCAGAGTGTTTAATAATTTCAGAATATCCAGCATAACTGGGACTGCAAACATAATTTTATTTATTTATTTTTTTGGCTTTTTGAGACAGGATCTCACTATGCAGTTCGGGCTGGCCTTGAGCTCATTTTGTAGCCCAGACTGGTCTTGAACTCGCAATGATCCTCCTGCCTTAGCTTCCCGAGTGCTGGGATTATAGATGTGTGCCACCATACCTGGCTTGTGAACATAATTTTAGATGGAAATAAATAATGCTTAACTGAATAGGTATGCATTCATGTAATAATAAAACATTAAAAGAATGTAAAGGTTTTACATAGTGATTCTGGACATGGTGGCAAATGCCTGTAATCCCAGGATTCTGCGAGGCTGAGGTAGGAGGACTGGAAATTTGTGCCCAGCCTGGACAATTTAGGTACTTGGTGAGACCCTGTCTCAAAATAAAAATTAGGAAAAAGTCTGGGTATATAACTGTGAAGGCCTTGGGCTCAGTCTCCAGTACCACCAGCAAAATAAAAAAGAAAAGGTTTATACAGTTTAAAAAGCCTTCCTCTAATTCTTATCTTCCCACAGCTCCCACCGCAGAGCCAACTAAACTATTAACCCTTGTGTCTTCTTCAACAAACAGTCTGTGTATTTGAGTATATTTTGACTTTTCCCTCTTTTTAGAACAATGGAAGCATGGTCTTCTACATTTGTTCTCTTGCTTAACAACTCTTGAAATTTTTTTTAGGGAAGGGATAGGGTCTCGCTGTGTAGTTCAGGAGTTCAGGGTGGCCTTAAACTCACTTATGTAGCCGAGGCTGGCCTCAGACTGTCAGGGTCCATTCTGCCTCAGCCTACCGAGGGCTGGGATTATAGGCATGCGCGACCACGCCTGTGGCCAGCTCTTTAAGTTTAAATTGCTGTATTTACAGTTATCTCCTATTAAAGTTACCTAATAATAATTCATTTTATAGTGTGTCATAATTTATTCAACTAGTTCCCTGTTGGGACTTGGGGTGTTAGTTATTTAGACTTTTATGAACAACGCCATATTGAACTTTTTTTGTTTGTTTTGTTTTGTTTTTGAGACAGTCTTACTGTGTAGTGTAGTTCAACCAGGCCTTGAACTCACTATATAGCCCAGGCTGGCCTCAAAATCCTGTGATCCTCCTGCCTCAGCCTCTTGAAGCATGTAACACTGGGCCCTCCTTCCACTTTCTTATACTTACACATGCTTAAATAGATATCTGTAGGATAAATTTCTCTCTGCAGAATAAACTCTGCAGTTTATCTGTAGGATAAACTCTCTCTGCAGATTGCTCCTCATAGACACTAGCAGTAGAGCTTCATAATTAAAAAAAAAAAGAAAAAGAAAAAGAAAAAGGATGCGAGTGGTTTCCAGCAGCAGGCTTTGGTGTAGTCGTGGTGTTTAGAAGGCAAGTGGGACCGCTGCATGTTACATTCCAGCTTCTGTCCTTCCCCGGCATTAGTTGTCTTCATTACATTTCTGCCTGGGAAGTGTTCCCAGTGACCTCACTTAGGCATTAAGATCATGGGAATCCAAGATTTTCCCATGTCTTCCAGCATGTTTGTTCACAAGAACAGGAAAATTGGGTGCCTGCCTGCCAGAAAGTTTCAATTACTGTCAGCCACTGAGAAGTCCTTCACTGAGGATCTTTTGAGTCGAAATGCGGTTAAGGAGAGGAAAAGGATGTGTAGGTCAGGTGGCAGTGGTTGATGATACGTTAAGGTAGTGTATTTCATAGCGTGTGAGATGCCTTCTCATTTGTCTATGGGA